TGAAAACTGATTTTATTTGCAGTGAGTAAGTACAGAGCTGGCTTAATTAGCAAACATTTTGTTAAACCTCAGCTAATGCAATTCAGGCCTGAAGCACTGGATTCATGCTGGAAAACCAACTGCAGTTGCACATACTTTCATGAAATCCAGGTTAATTCCACTAATTTTATGCAGCTTCTGGATAGTCTATATCCAGAACTATATAGTCTTAAGCACACAATATTTTAGATCCTTACCTTCTGAATTTTAAAGTTAAAAAAAGATTTTATTTGTGTTTTCTAAAATTGTCTTAGGAAAAAAAAAGCACAGATTAATTCATTTCTTAGTAAAAATCAGGAAGAATAGAACTAAACATCGGCTGCATGAAGATCTCAGATTGCTTTGTGGAAATATTAGCATGCTTATTAGCATGCTTATTTTCAAATAGTGAGATTACAAGAAACAGAGGTTCTCTGTCATTGAAGACAACAAGAGGCCATTACAGAATCAATGCTAGATTTTAAATTCCATGCTTTAATAATTAGACCACAGGATATTTCCAGGATAGCTTGTAGGTCTTCTATCTGCCTCGCTCCCACATTACACAGGAAAACCCCCCCATCCTATTGAAAGTAAATATTCTAGAAATATTTCAAATTCCATTTAGTGAAGAGAGATTGAGAAGAAAATCCAAAGGAAAGTAATAGCTATTGAATGGTATTACACCTATATCCCAGAGCAACAAATCTTACTATTTTTCCTCATTTGAACCTCATTCATGAGAGTTTTGTTGTTAACTTGATCCAGGTGACAGATCAAAGCATACTTCCCTATTGCCACCTTGCTAAAATATTTTTTAAAAGACAGTTTTAATATTATAGTTTTACAGTTACAGATTGCTGTTAAGCTATTTAGTCTGTTACCAGTCAATCAAAGACTTTCATTTCACTTCAGTAGATCCTTACTTAAACTCAACAGAATTTTAGGAGGACAAGAAATATCTGCCAGTTTTCTTACACTGCTAGATCATAAATTCTTTGGTAAGTGGGTTAAAAATTCAGTTACGCATACCATTCATGACCTTGACAGCTTAGCAACTAATGATATTGAAAGATCAAAGACAACTGTTTCAAGCCCTAAGGGTTAATATACCTGTGCACCTAGATTTAAGGTGCTTTTAATTCCCCTATCATTCCTTTATTTCAAAATGGATGCAGTATTTATTGAATGTAGTCATTAAATTTAAAGGAATAAAATCTGAGGAAACTGCTTAGGCTAAAACTAATAAGGCTATACATGGTCTGTAGGAGATGCAGTTAATTAATTGTTGCATTTTACAAGTTAATATTTTTTTCTTTCCTAGTACAAACCCAAATTAAAACCTGCTCCTTCTCAGGTGTGGGCCTAGTGTTCACCAGGCATTTTCAAAAAGAACTCTTGGTATGATAATTTTGTTGCCAGAGCTGTGGCTGTGTAAATTTTGAGAAAACCCATTTTCAGGAAAATCATATCAATAATAATAGCTTTGCGAGGAAAAGTGAATAAAATTTTGAACTATATAATATAACTGTTTCAGATATGGAGTATCTCGTGCAGAGTAATACATGATGCAAACTAGATGTTGCACAGTTTAAATGCACGTACAATCATCACTCTAATTTTCATGAATTGTACCAAGACCGAGTTTCCTGATCATGTGGGAAATTCATATTAAATAATATGTTGTGCTTTCTAAAGTAATATAAGAAAAGGTCTTGGATGTTCTTGAATAGGAATTTTCCAAGTATGCTGAAGATGTTGCAGGAAATGATGGCATTGCCAAGTCAGTAGGTGGTGTTTTTCCCTCGCAGTCAGTAGTGAAGCAGTGTCCTAATGTGTTGATAACGTGATGACCCAGGCAATGCGAATTTACTGTCTGTCTGATAAACCAGTGTCCTAAAAGGTATATGCCTTTCTGTGTGTTCGTATGTAAGTGTAGACATGGGAAGCCCTGGGGTCCTGAATAATTTCCAATGTGGTTGATTAATTTCTTCCTTAAATAAAAATATACCTGGTGTTTCAAAGCCTACTAAAGATTATAAGAGTTAGCATGGGAAGCAAACAAAAGTAGTGTTACAGATTTTTGTTTAGAAGGACCTGAAAAGGATTTTATTGTTCCTCTGGATGGCTTTACTTATGTTTCTCCTCTGGAAATCGTCCTGTTCATCCTCCTCAAAGGCCCTGCTTTTAAAAATTTGAACTCATACCATGTTTTGTACTTCTTAAAACAAAGCTAAGCATACCAGGGAAATACAGTTCAGTGTGGAAGTATAGCACTCTGACAGTGGCTAAAGAGAAGACAAACAGAACTTCAAAGTCATATTAGTTATCGTTATGAAAAGCTAACAAATAAAACCAATGAGCTTTAAAAAAAAAAATTTTTTTTCAAAATATTTAACATCATTTTAAGGAATTACTGACAATCACAAGTCATGTAAAAGTTTGGATGATTTGATGATCACTTGAATGGAATAGAAATTCTCATTTCACATTTCCTATATATATTATGCTTCCAAAACAGGCGCACTAAAGGAAGACTACTACAGCATTAACATTTCTTTGTGCACGTTTTACTGCAATCTGGCATCCAAAAGGAAGAAACATTAGAAGTGGTTTATTTATATTTCAGCACCAAATTAGAAAGATGACATCATTCATTTACAGTTCTTATCCCATGACACGTCTAATCCCCAACACCTCATTACAGGGGACACTTTTAGGATTGCATATATCATCTTGTTTAACTTTTGCATTCTTTTATGGAATACAGTTGAAAGGTAGGAAATTTAAGGCTCTTCATTGATAAGAAAATAAACTAATAAAATGTTAGGAGCTTCCCCAAAGAGGCAGGATATTACAGTGTTTACAGTAAGTGGATTATTATTTGTCTATTAATTCTCCATCTTTTCTACTCTCTCGTTCAAGAGACCTTCCTCTTTGAATCTAAAGACAAACAGACCAACTACATTGATTCAGATTGAGTTGGTCTTTTGGCAAAATTGGTAGAAATTCATAGCTGAAATTCACACAGGTGTATGCTTCTGTCTTCCTATCTGGGATGGAGAAAATGAAATGGTTCCAACTGTGCAGAAAATAGAGTTAAAAATTGTGAAGTGGTAGCACGTGGTGCCGGTGCAATTCCTGTTCTAAGGAATCCACCATTTGACCTGTGGTCACATTTATTCTATGACACACAGAGGAGTTGCTCAGAAAGAGTCTGACAGTGGCTAACGCAAGTGCACATCCAATCTGTGTTTGTTCCTCTGTCTTGTTATTGCGGATGCCTTAGGGTTTGGGGTAGGTTGGTTGGTTTGTTTGTTTGTTTGTTTTTACTTGAACTGAGTACAGGTGCCCTCCTGTAAAATAGTTTTCTATGATCCTTCCAATGGACATCACGTGAAGTGCTTGAGAAACATTGTGACATTTCAAAAAAAAATTAATTGCTGAAAAGGCACATCAGGATTTCCTGTGATCTCTGTGGTTCATAGTTTTCTTCACATTAGAATTTGTTATACTTCAGATATTGTGTAATATGATTTTTTTTTCCAAATCTCTTTTCTACTGTTGCAAAAAAAACCCCAAAAACCAAAAACATTAAAATGGGGCAGTATAACAGCAATCTTTGAGTTTTTATGTGGTCTATTAAAATATACTTGCTAGTGAAATTTTCCTAACAGAGATTTTGATACAGGACTGTTTTCATGGGAAAATCAATTTACAGTAGTCCTGAAAGTAAGTTTACCATATACTTGCTATGGGACACCAGCTGTCTCATGGGCACTTCTAATTGGAAGCCAGTTAGACCTGTTAATATAGGAAGATAGCTGAACAAATGAGTTGTGTTTAAATTCATCTAAGTTGGTCCTTTAGAACTCATTATTTTGGGCAAAGTCCCTGGGGTAATGTGTTTAGCCAGCATATTCATTGGAGTTAGCATGAATTGTGCTACCTTGGAGCATGGGTAGAACTAAACTGTGGCTATTTGCAGTTGATTTCACTCTCTTATCTTTACTATTTACCAGAAGTGTCTAAGTACAAAGTGGACTTGTTTGTGCTTGACCAACTTAAATGATGTCCCCATAGAGAATTGCCACAAAGTAGATAATGGTCCTTCAAAACCAACCCTTCTCCTGTAGGGTTCAGGTGAGATTTTTGAAGATGACATTGTGTGTTAAGACTGCTGTCTTTCCTGCAGTCATCTGCATGATATTAATTATATATGTCTGTAATGAATTCTTCTTTATTAACTGTACACGGCAGTAGCTAAAGTGTTGATGATCTTTTTTTTTCAAGATCTCTATCTAAGACTTACTTTCATTCACTCATGCGTCAAGTTCTGTAATCATTTCTTTAAGTGCTTGTGTCTATATCAGTTAGTTCTCAGATTCTTTTAACTTACTGTTTAGCAGGGTAATAATTAAATAAATTATCACCCTGCTAAACAGGGTGATATATTTTTATATATATTATAATTTAATTATAAATTAAAATAATTAAGCCAAAATAGAGCTTTTAGCATAACTATTCATGATTGTTGTTGACGTGCCGCAGTAGCTAACTGTAAATATTTGAAGTACATTTAATATTCCTTTCGGTGAGATTTTTCAAGTTAATTGGCAGGACACAATAATAGACTAGAAAAAATAGGAAAATTCTAAAATAATGAATTTAGAAAAGCTGAATGTCTTTGTTGACACCCTTCAAACACAACATCCTTGATCATATCCTTCTCTGACTTCTTTGTGCAATTCTACTCATGTGAAAACTGAGACAGAAGATGTATTCACATACTTTGTTATCTTTTTCTATTTCTGCCTCCTTTTCTATGTGAGCCAGCAGTCTGGACTTCTATTGTTAGATCCTTACAGCTATAAAAAAACCCCAAAAAACAACGGAGCTAAGAGCTGAGATCTTCCTAAAACACTTTTAGAGTAATATATTCCATCTTGTAATAGAATTGTCTCACTTTACATCTTAAACAGACACAAAACAGAATGAAATTGATGGCAGATAACTACGATGATGACCATCACCACTACCACCACCATCACCACCACCACCATCATCGATCTCCTGGGAGGCCACAACACTCCAACCACAGACCCTCTCCAGATCAGGTTAGTCACCTCTTTTTTCACCTTCAGTTTTATAAATTTACTATTTTGCTATTTCAAGATAAAATAAATATTCTAAAGAAATTATAGGTATTTATTCCATCCCTGAAACAATTTAAACATTTTGGCTTTTTGTCTGGTGTCTTATATTTTTCTTCCCTATCTTTCTTTAGAAGTTTTTCAGGCTATTTTTAGCTTTTCGTAACTCAACTTTTTCAGTCGAAAATCAGTGGAGAATCTCCTACTTAGTGATTTCAGAAGTATCAGTAGTAGTGAATCAATCCTTACTATTGAAAAACCTGTGCAGCAGTTCCCTTTGGCAACTTGTAAACCAATGCTTCTAAACTGGTTTTGAAAGCATCTTTCTGTTGAAGCATTCAAATAACAGATAGAGCTTAAAATAAAGAGCGATGCATTTTTAACTAGGCAAGGTAAAGCAAATTCCAGAGATGTTTTAGTTTAAAAATGCGTAGTGATTCAGTATTATTCTTCTTAGAGTCCTGTGTCTCAGAAAGAGCAAATAACTGTTCTAATAACGTGGTCTCCTAAAATACGTTAATTAAGCATGCTGGCATTGAACCTTTTCTCCTCCACCCAGGGTGGAAAAACATCCATAAGCCCAACACTGTTTTGACATTTTGTAAATGTCAATATTTGTTTACAAGTAAATATAATTTTTAAACAAAAACATTTTTGTAAATATTTAACTTATTTTCTTTTATTGATAATATTTTGCAATGTTAATGATATGAAAGTGAAAAATTAAAATACACAATTATTAAAACAAGTTTACTGTCACATAGTTTTAAATTAATATTTACACTGTACATGCCTGAAATGAGGACATCATGATGTTCTGTGGTTTATTAGTATTCTAACACTTTGTCTGTTGGAATACTTGAATGTAGTTTTCCAGATGATGTTGCTGTCAATAGGCAGCAATTTGCTAAGTGTCCAGTCTGCAAGCTTAGTACTTCTGGTTTATAGACAAATGGGTGAAGCAGACACCTTGAGTGAAAAGTTTATTGTTTTGATGTGTTTGTCTTTTATTTCTGGAAAGCTTGAAGACCAGATCCACCAAAAATAAAGCATCTGCTTTAATTTTATAGTTATAATATTGAAAATAATGCTAAAGTATTGCTATAGCTATTAGTAATAATGTTGTAATTACTAGTTATAGCTACTTAGCATTATAAAGTTATAGTATTGAAAATAATAATTTTTTTAATTCATTATTTTCTTGTATTAAATGTACGTTATATTTGTAATTCCAGTGATAATTTTATCTCATCCTTAAAATACCCTTCTGCCAGCGAACCCGTTTACATGATTGTTCTCTGAGGTGTCTGGGTCTGATGCTGTTAAAAATTTGTTGTGGTAAAAAATCGTGTGTGTGTCCATGCATGCATGTATTTCTATACGTGCATGAAATGCTAAACCACAAGAAATACCAGTGAAAGAAGCTAAGCCATAGTACATGAAACAAACTTCTATTCTGAAATTAAAACGTATACGTAAGCCATGCTGCCAGTGTGCCGTGTGCTTCCAGCTGACACTGAGTCAGTTTGTCAGCTGTGGATGGAGTCTGGCCTGAAGACGACTTTCAAATTTTAAGATAGACTTATTTTCACTGTATGACTTGTTACGCTACTATAGTAGGTGAGAGCTGAAAACTATAGGATTTGTAAGAGGAACTCAGTCACAGTAGGACAAGGAGGAAAGTTATCCATGTATGTGTTTATTTGGAGTACAAAAAATAGTCTATAGAAGCAAGTAACTCTTTTCCAGGTGGAGAACCCTGGGGAAAATTAAAATATTGCTTTTTATATGAAGAATCATTGTTTGATACCAAATTAGTTTATAAGTTCATAATGTCTGGGTAGAAATAAAAGGGAAAAACATTGGTGAAGTTGTAACAAGGATGTATCATAGACTATAATCGGGAATAGGAGACAAAGAAGCAAATGACACTTTTTTTCAGAATGACCAATAGAGTTGTGCTAAAGACAGGAACTGGAAAGTATGAAAAAATTCAATTTCTTGGATACAAATTGAAAAAAAAAACCAACCCAACCAAACACAAAACCAAAACCTGAACAACAGAACACAGAATCCTTCGAGTTCTTGGAACACGTGAAAAACAACTTTTTCTTTCAGAAAGTGAAGGTTGTTAAGGACCTACTGTCTTCATTTTAGTTCTGTTTCTGATTAACAGAGATCTGTTGGCTGAGTTTATAAAAGAAGGCAAAATTGTCTGAAAATGACCATGAAATAAAAAAGGTATTGGCTTTGTGCAAGGAATACAGAGAAAAACAGTATGAAGGCAAGATCTGTGAAAAAAACTTTGTGTTACTTGAAACCCAGACACTGGTTTCAACTAATTCAGGAAACCTGAACCTGTAAAGAAAATTTGAGGGACAAGACAGTGTAAGACAGCTAACCTTTAGTGAAGGTGGTGCTTTTTAATGCACAATAACAGATTATTCAGGGAAGAGAATGGAGAAGCAGCATAATGAAAGTCTGTATCAAAACACCTTCAAGAACTTAAAAAACTTAAGAATATAAATGATGGAAATCAGTACATGATTAAAGATTAGAGCATATAAAATACTAGCTCTTTTACTAGTATTGTACTAGTAGTTTGATTTATTTATGATTATATTCAACAACTGTTACGTAGGATATAGAAGATCCTTGGAGGCTCAACAGAGGCCAACACCTTTACAAATAAAATATATGGGGATTTATGAGTAACTTTATTGTAGATCCTGAAAATTTATGGAATAAATTATTAATCAGTGAATCAACAGAAAGCCAGTAGTCTTTTTAGCATTCATTTTCAGTAGCTTGATGTCTGTATCACACTGTGTGACATTATCTATCTCGTGTATATCAGATCACTTTATACTTGCTTCACCCTTATCCTCTTTTCCTATCAACTGGCAGTTCCTCTCCTAGACCAGATAAACTATTTTTATGTTACATACTTGAAGGTATGAGATTGTTTATCATTGTATACTCACTTTATTCTTGTGCTCTTTCCTAGGAGATAATTTTGGGCCGCTCTCTAAAACAGAATGCAGGTCTAGATGGCTGTTACATAGTGTACCTAGCCTATATTTAGTCTTCCTGTATTTGTCAAGGACAAATTATGTCAAGCAAATCTAATTTCCTTTGATAGGCTAAAGAAGAAAGTGGTAGCTGTCTCATACTTTGAATTCAAAAGGCCTCTAACACTGTCCCCCATATATTTGTAATATACAAATTTGTATTAATTTGTAATGTAGTTAACATGCAATGTAAAATGCTTTACAATAGGGTGCACTTGGCAGTGCTAGTTTAATGGTTGGGCTTGATGATCTTAAAGGTCTTTTCCAACCTAAACGATGCTGTGATTCTATGTTTCTATGAATAAAAGCTGCAACTATAAATGCCGCAACTATAAATAATACAATTTCAGTCTAATTAAGTATGAAATCACCATGAGATGGGTGTGCAAGTGATACAGGTAATATGCTGCAGACAAATTTTTCGTTACTCATTGTCAGACAGGAGGGACATTTGGAGCAGTATTTCAGAGGTCTGTCCTTTATCTGCTTCTGAGGAGTATGTTTTTAGAAATTATTTCAATGATTAAATAGAAAAAAACATGAATATTGTTGATAATGAAGCAGGTGGCAAGAATCTGCAGGCATAGTAGGAGCAGTTAAACTGCTCAATAAGCTGCTCCGGTCTCAATAAACTGGAGAGAAAGTCTAGAATAGGTAATGTGAAATTCAGTAAAGACAAGTCCATTTACAAGGGAGAGCTGATGAGGCAATTCCATGGAAAAGGGAACCTGGATTGCACATAATATACAGCAACAATGGAATACCATTGCAGGGCAGTTGGATCTAATTCTGGGATGGATGTAATACTGGAAAAGAAGCAGGAAGTAATTATTCTGTTCTTTCGAGCACTGGTGAGACCTCCTCTGAAAAGCTGTATACAGTTTTGATCACCATGCTTCAAGAAAGATAGACAAATTGGAAGAGGACAAAAGGAGAGCAGCAAGAATGATAGGAGTTTTAGAGAACATGACCTATGAGGAAGGCTTAAAGAACTGGGTTTGTTTAGTCTAGAAAGTACTAAGGGGGAGACATAAGTCTTCTAATACATAAAATGTTGTTGTAAAGAAGACGATGATCAATTGTATTCCAGTGCCCACTGGAGAAAGAGTAGGAGTGGTAAATTTAATTTATACCAAAAATAACTAGGTTAGTTATCAAAAATGGAAACTTTTTCACTATGACTCCAATGAATTTGTAAGTGGAAAGAAAACATGGACATTCTTTCATATAGATGTAATGGAACCTCCTTTCTTGGAGATTTTTAAGAACAGGTTGTATGAGTATCTGTTGCCCATGATAATAACTTTATTTCATCTTGTGTTGTGCGTTGGGCTTGGAGTAGGTGCATGTACTGCTATCCCTAAATTTCCACAGACTCAGCGAACAATGTGTGAGGCCAGCGAATGTTTAATTGCAAAGCAAGCAAATAGGAGATCTGTAACAAAATCCTTGCTGAAATGATCTTTGAGAACAACAGTCAATGATATTCATGAGTGAACTCTAGTCATTGCTTTAGTTTGCATTTTTCAATCATGGATTTATTTATTTTTTTTTACTTTCTGTGTTACTTATCATTCCTTACAGCATTCTTTTGTACAGCAAATTTGATTGCCATATGCCATGCAAACCTCTATTTCCCATTCAATGGTGTATTATGCATAAACTCCAGATACGTGGTTTTCGATAACCATAATCCAACAGACTGCCAGTATTTTGAAACCACCGAATAAACTGAGACAATAATGAACTTGCAAATCATCAGAGGGCGTTTTTAATTTTTTAAGGAGACAAGAAAGTGGTGCATATTGTAACATGAATGCCATTTAATTTAGTAAATGCTCGGTAGGGGTTTTGAAATTTTTCTCAAATTCTGGAGAAAAAGCGATAGTTGAACATGCAGTATTAATCTTGAAACACTTCTCATTTTTATGGATAATACTGGATTTTCTAATTTATATGATACATTTTTATAAAGAAATACATGTATGTTATATATGGCTGTAAAAGTAGTACATGTGCATTTGAGTACGTATTTGTAAGGAAGAATATGACATTTCCCACTTACTGCTGTAAAACACTGCATGTATGCTACTGTGAGTCTATAGCCCCTTTAAAGAGAATGGTGTACCAACAGTGTCT